CATGCTGATTTTTTGTCTACGAACATCTGATGGCACTATAATCTTAAATTAAGAATACCTTGAAAAACTATCAGTAGGTAAGGTACGTTGCGTATGTCCTTAAATTGACAATCTTAAATGTATAATGCATCCCTCCCTCTTCAGTAGGTGTAAAATTGATCCACTCTGGAAATAAATAAAATTTTATGTCTCATAGAATGTTTTATATGCAAGCTTTTTGACGTGGTAAATCTAATTGACAAAGTCAGTTTATAATTTGCGATTATTATTTGTATGTTGTATTAAGATTGGGTTCAGTTTGATCGGAATCGAATTCCCAATATTGAAATCCGGTGGAAACACGAGGTTGTGCAATTGTGGTCAATTTATCCTCCATCTACCTTCCTCCTCCCTTATGTAATTCTTACACTGGAAAGTTTTTGGAAATTGAAGAAAAATGTTTGCCTTGATTTATCCTTTACTGCATAATTTTAAAACACTTGATATTATTCATATAAACCCGGTTTTCTGTCTGGTATTGTACATTCGATTGAAATTTTATTTTGTTCTTTTGAATTAAATACAAGTGGTGCCTTATTGTTTATGCCACCTTCCTGTTGCACAAACTTTGTAATCATTATATAAAAATATCTGGGATAAGCAAAAAGTTGCAATGTAACAAATCGAAGTTGAAATTATTCCTCATTCCCCCTTATTCCAGCTATAATTTACATGATTGTAGCCATTGTATTCTATGTGCTTTTGTTCACTCCTTGTCATTTATCTGGACAATAAATGACATATTTACTCAGTTTAAGTTTTTCATGTTTCCTTCAGTGGTTCGAGCAACAAGAACGAGCTTCGAAAAAGGCATTCAACGTTATGAAAAATGTATAATTTGTTTAATGAAGAAAGTTGTGAATATAGAATACGTTTTATAGCACCAGCTCTTGTTGAACGAAGACATTTTCTGATTTTGATTTGAACTAAGCTTTTACTTCACGACAGACTTAGTCGTCTTTGAAGCTCGAAAATAAGATCTCACTTCACATATTATTATTTGAAAACAATGACTTCTTTGTCTTGTTAATTGAAAAAAGGGACTTAACCTTTAGTTAAAAAAAAAAAAACGCAGATAAAAAAATCTCATACATACAAGCAAGCTTAGCAGGAAATGCACGGCTCAAATATCAGTCAGCTGTGAATAGGATCAATTTTAGATTCTTATCTGATGTTTCATCGGTCATTGAACTATTAATTTATCATTCTTACTCTATTGCTGAAAAAATGCACAAAATGTATATAAATATTTCTTCCTCAAATTAAAAAGATGCTTTTTAGAAATCAATTCATACATATCGTAAGAGGGTAAATTAATGTGAACATTTTATAAACTGTAAATTTTTATGTCTAGATTGGTAATAATGGTTCTATTTCCATGTAACCTGTCAAAAATCCCGCCTAATTGATCCCCCACAGAATTGGTAATCTCGTTGAGTTATCACAACTTGGCTTCAATTTTTGTCACTGTGTATTACTCTTGTTTCCCGTTTTAGACAATTTTATCACTTTTACATGCTCTTACTTCGAATGAAGTCTGTCTTAATGTGGTGAATCCATTCAGTATTTTCAGTCAGCATTGTAAGTTAATTGACTTTTCATTTTAGCAATATTTATTAAACATTATTACGTTAGAATATAAATGCTCTTTCACTTTTACGTTGTTCTGTGTTAACATCTATAGTGCATCGAAATGATGCATTTTGATGGTAAATATACACAAATATTTTTCAACTCCCAAGCCGTTTTACGTAAAAGATCTGATATATTGTTTGAAACTACTGTACATGTATGCAAGATTTTTTTGCCTTTAGGTCTGTCTGCATATTACACAAAGAGTAAATGCATTTATCGGGAGCTTCTTTATTTTTTTAAAATCAGTTCATTTATTATTAGGTTTTAGTTAAGTGAAACTTTTCTTTTATCATTTGCTTGAATCTGGACTTGACAATATATATGTACCTCCTCTTGTGAAAACTAAAGACGGTAGATAAGTGGTTTTGATTACATGTATATACTAGATTAATGTTGCAAAATAGATATAAATTTTGTTAAAATTTTATATTTGTCAGAATATTTGGAAATTCGGACTGATTGGGAACAAAGTGCATGTTGATAGGTGCCTGTTGAGATTGGCCTTACTGTACTTGATTTTTGCTGATATAATATATTGTTACTGTCCTGAAAGTGCCCTCATTGTTACAAAGGTCGCATACAAGTTTGTGTAAATACTTTTTTTAATAAATATGCATAGTGTTAATTATTGCAATATGAAGTAGCGTTCTATCTAAATAACCTCTCGCTATTAGATTGTAAATGCAGTTTCTGTAGATCTTATTTAAATTATTCATTCTTTATTTTTTTTAAAAAAAAAAAGTGTTCCAGCAAAGTGTCTTGTTCTGTGATTTATAGCTTAAATATTATAACTTGTTTAGAATATGTACACATCATACGTATCATAATGCTTTGCGAAAGCTAAGTCCCGTTACATTCAGTTCACGTGAGAACCGAACTTCATTCGTGAAAATTCTCAAAATGATAACATTTGACAGAAACAATTACACTTACTTCTCTCCTCTCCATCTATCCTGGTAAACAGGCTATCATATTTTATTCACGAGACCACGGAGTTCGATGTCCGCTAAAACTGATACCAAACCTGCCAGGAAGGTTTGTGTAGAAATGACACGTCGTTCTCTTCCTACGACCATTTTATGACAATATTGTTGCAACAGAGGTACATGTATCTAAAAGTGTTCCCATATCTTGTTAATTAGATAAATTGAATTATCAAATAACTTTTTTGTTAGAAAATTGAGTTATATGAGTTCTTAGAAGTTACTTTTATGAAAACGAAAAGAAATGTTATTCATTAACTTTGAATCATGTTTTCTTGTGACTGTGCAGTACATGTATCTTTTAGAATGCACCGATTTTTCGCCTATTCGATGTGGTACATGTAGGTCTTTTAATAATGTGCAAACAATGCATGATCTTTTTACAAACATTAGTCCTTACACAATTTTATGATAATTACATGTACAAGAAACCGATTTTTACATTAAGATCTAGTTTTGTATGTGTATATTTTAATTAGCATTTGTTTGTAATTGTAAATTAAACTGTTTACATGTTTTTAATTTTCAAGTCCGTCGGATGGGACGTTAAATGATGCCCCGTGTCAAGGATTACAACCTCCTCGGTAAAAAGATCGTTTCTCTGGTTTTCGAAAAAGAGTAGGCTCACTGGGGGCGGCCAGAGAAACCCAAAAACTTTCAAAACCGACCACACAACGTAAATTTTTATTGCCGAATTGTGGCTGAAAAATTGCTGACTCTGCGTTCGACAAAACAATCAAACAATCAATCAAATCATGTTTTCATTCAAACTTTTAAGAATGTATCATTTCTTCCCTACATGTACCTTGGTACACACATTGCTATTTAATAATTTAGTTTTTACATTTTCAAATGCATTACTGAAGTTTTTTTAATTAGGCCTAATGTTACTTTTTGACAATTTTTAAGCATGTTTTACACATGCCTGTCTATTCCACCCTATATATGAGTTACACAATATCTGTTTTGAAAAGTGAAAATTGAAATTTCATCAAATGTCCAGTAAAATTCAATTCAATTTGTTTATTTACCAATTAAAGGCCCTCATGGGACAAAAAAGAAAGTACATTTGTAATCATCTGTATATTTTCATTTGAATATAATATAATATACATACATACATGTATCAACTGATGAATGCACCGAAGGTGTCGGCGGAGATGCCAATTACAGACATAATACAAAATATATATTTTTCACTTCTTTGTCTAGAACTTTTCTAACATACAATTAAAAAGACCCCCCAGAAAGAATATTTTGAATATCCCATGTTTTTTACATCCTAATTGAATTCGACCCAGTCGTACAATAAACTGGATCAAAATAAATCTATTTTCAATGCACACCCATTATTAAATGGCAATAAAATTGCACTACAAGTATTATTATTGTTTCAAAATGACAGATCTATTATAACTTGACTTTAATCTTTCAAATCATTTTGCTATTGGGGAGGTCTGAACAACATGGAGTTTGGTAATGACGACCCAAGGTTTCGATCCTCATCGCTAATGATACTTTTGTTCAAGTACTTTTGACTATACCATGGTGCTTGATAAGTTGTTTTAAATGTTTTTAAATACCTTCTATTTATTTTTGCTTACTAGTATTCTTCAAATTATCCGTTTGAAAGTTTAATGCAGTAGTCTTTCTGGTGTTTTTTTTTATTTACCCGGTGCAAGTACTATAGTTTCTTGCAAGTGCATGGGTAGTATGGCACTCTTAAAACAAATAAAATTAGTAATCCTTGTTAATGTACTTGGCACATAATAGACATGAAATTTAGAAATTTGCCGTTAGTAAATAAGAATGAATGTGATCCTGCTAGATGATTTGTGAGTACTTTGACCAGCACAAGTTCAAAATGTAGTCCAAAAAAATAAGGTGTCAACATAATTGTTATTCCGACCATTCGCATTTCTAATTCTTATAAAATCCTTCTTGCCATATCTATATATTAATATACATATAAATACCATTATTTGAATATTCTGTTAATGTAATTAAGGTCAGATGTGCAACACACATGTACAGTAGACAAAGCAATACACTCTGAGCTCTGAGAGATACACCTTCAACCCTGAATCCAGCTTATAAATAAATATACACACTACAATGCCTTCTAATTTTTCTAATAAGTTTTCTGGCAACTCATTGTTCACGTCCTACAAGAACCATCTACGAATCTGCAACATTTTTATCATGAAATACCAGTTGTTGTCTAAAGGTAATAATAAATAGTTTATCGATATAAAGGAAGTTACTGATTAGTGCTTCATAAAGGCCAGAGACTTCGCAGCTGAATCAATTCGGAATCCGCCTGTGCTTCGAACAGGTTCTCTCCTCTCCTCTCGGATAGTTTTTTTTCTCCTCCATGTGCAACGTGCGTTCATTGGAGAATATTAACTTTTTGTCATTACATATTACTATTGCATACTATTATATCTAACTATTGCCATCCTGAAAGAATATACCAAATTTCATGCTTTGGAGAATATAATTATATAATGTAAAGGTAAGTTTTTTTTCTGTATTTAGGAAATTCTGTTAATTAGATTTTCTTTGATTAAATTGCATTTATAAAAGCATATTATTTTTTATTATGATAATTTATGACATACAAAACAATATACATGTATGTAATTTCGTTTACTTCTTGTCATATCTAATTCCCCCTCTTGAACTTTTGAAGTGAAGAATTGCCATTCTGTGTGTCTTATTTACGAATTCACATAAATATTGGATTGAAATAGCATATGTAAGATAAATATTTCTTATCTCTGCCATAGGTTTTGACATGTATTTACAAATGCTTTAATCCCCAATAGTAACATGGAGGAACATTCGAATTCTCAAGATGTGTGGTCGTCTTAAATTTTAATTAAAAATTAGGCATTCGCTGTTTTTCTGGAAAAAGACATATGAATTTAATGAAAATAAGTGTAATATTAATCGAAAAAAAGTTTGTATAAAATATATTAATTTGATTACTAGTAATTAAACATAAAAACTAAGATTCAGAAACAAGTTTGATAAACTCTAATAATTCTTTCTTTTTGTTAATTTACAATAAAAATATCAAATTTGTTAAGGAATTTTGCTTCATTATATATCATTTATGAATAAGTAAGGAAGTTCCCAGTTGTGAGAAATGTACTTAATTTTTTTCTGACAATCATTTTTCGGTCAATACGATTTTAATGTCGCTTGCTATTGAAATTCCAGAGAGAATTCAGATAATAAGAGTATAATTCATTTGACATTTTAAAACTATGTCTGAGTTTTTAATCATAAATAATAACTCTGCATCTCAAAATTCAGAAAGGAAGTAAACATACAGCTATACTTCGTTTATATTCTTGTACATTCTTTTATGACTGCAAGTAAATATCCATTTTTAATTCACAGCTCTTCAAATATTATTTAAGTCTTATATAATAACAATATACAATATTGCAGTTGAATCTATTTTTCTCTTGATATTCACACTGTAATCGTCATGTTATGATTTCATTTAATTTTCTGGATTCAATTTAATATAAAACAAAAACAAAACAAAAAACTTCATATTGATATATTCATATTGAGTCATATTCAACTCCATATTGATTGGCTGATGTTTAAAACCATAGACATGGGACCAGGTGACAAGAAATAAAGTATGCAGTATTCATAATTGTTGCACAATTATTGATGTACAAGGAAGAACATACCAGGTGCAATTGAAAATGTCATTTTATATATAATTTGCATGCTCTCCCTAGATCGGTATCAGATAATCAATACCTCTGTGCATTTATTATAAACACGCATCTATTTCATGACAAAATTGTTATGCTAATTGTTTTAAACCTATTGTGATACTATAGTTGTGTCAGGGAAGATTTAAATGATATTACCTGCGCATATGAATATTTAACAATGGAGACTATGTATACAGTTTGTTTTGTTATATACCTACTTTAGCAAAAATTCAAAGTTCTTAAATAAAGGAACATTTTTAACCGTTGACTGCCATTGCGATGGCGTGCAGTTACATGTAATATAAATGGGCTCTGTCTCCTTGGCAAGGTCTTTCAAAACATTAGAAAAAAGGACATGTCATATATGGAAGCTTTTATAACTTAGCTTAATTTTATTATTTGCAAATGTATCTAGTAAGCAGAGTAGAGGGTCAATGCTTCAGTTAAGCATCTTAACGTCTTAAATTCGACATAACTGGAAACTTATCCCTCAATCCTGCAATACATGTACATGTTTATGTAGATGATTTTAATTTTATTTGTACATAAATCTACCCTTAAAGATTTCAGAGTAATGGAGTATTTCTATATATTGCTCACTTTGTTCCATAAGTAAATAATAATCGTTGACCCGTTGTTCCTTCGACCTTGATCTTTACAAGCTCTCGTTAACATATGAGTACGCTCAGATGGTTTTAAAGCAAAATGCAGTAAGTAGGCCGAAGCGCTGAAAAATCGAATGAACCGCAATGAAATTGAATTGATAATTGTTATAATTTACATAAAACATAGCGATACGGTCTTCTTCAAAGGAAGGAATGTTAATAAATGTTGTTTATCGGCATAAAATCTTGTTTTAGTAACGACAGCTGTAAGGGGCCACAACTGTAATTATTTGTGATGTATTTGCATTGGAGATAAATATCATATATAAACAGGGAGTAACACGAAAAGAAATTAATGATCGAAAAGAAATAAGCAAAAGTCACTTTTCTTTGACAGCAGATAAAAGATATATCATATGTTCATTTGGAACTTGCAAACATTTCTAAAAGTTTAAGTTTTCATTGCTGCATCCATTAATATAATTGCTACTGTTTAGAGATGTTGCAAAGGTTATCGTGAATTCTACAGTCGATTTTTTTAAAACATTTAATTTTCATATTTTGATTCGACATTTTATTTGAAATGGTATTATCTCTCCTGGTTATTCAGCTATATACATGATATAGTGTGTTTGTAATTATTGCTTATTCTTAAAGGGTCATGTAGGCGAAAAAGCCGTGCATTTGAGAAACAATGTAAACGAGACATCATTGGAAATCATTCAGTCAAAACGAGTTGTAAGAGACAGTTCTTGAATAAAAGTATATTTCTTTTGCTATGTGTTTGTCCTCGATGCACAACTGTTCAACTGGAATTGACTATACCAATTCTGAGAAAATTGCATAATCAGTATACTAGTTTACATTTACCTTAAAAATCAAGGCTCTAAGTACAAAGGCCGTACTTTCGTCAAAAATCATCGGGGCGGGAAAAAACTTCATCTTTAACTAATCAATGCATAAATCGACTCAATATCTACAAGCGTGTGAAAATGAGTCCGGGAAAACCAAGTTAAATGATTGACAGACAGAGGGACAGCTAAATAGGCTTTAATATGTATTTTTGTCTGCTTCTAATCTTTTTTTTATGTTTAGAAATACTAGTATATATTGTTTAAATCAATATTAAATATATAAGTACTAAGTAGACAGATAGATAGACAACTAGACAGACAGACAGAGGGAGAAGAAACATATTAGTGCCCTACGGTTTCACCGGTATGAATTGAGGTTATGAATTGTACCTAAAATAGTTATTGTCCAATGAAAACAAAACTAGCCGTTAAAAGTTTTTTTTTTTTTTACATCCGCAGTAGGTAAAGCCTTTATTTTAACTTTTGATTTCTCATATTTGTAATAAAAAATAATTCACTTCTAAAAATGGCTATGCTGAGTCACTTTTATGGCAAGTTTAACGTGTTGTAGTAATAAGAAAAAGGAAAGAAGAGAGGATTATAGAGAACATCCACACTGAATCTGTTGGAGATAGATCAGGGATAGGTGGCAAGTGTTAGCGAGCGATATTGAACTAGTGATCCATATTATTTTTTTATTTTACACGTGTATTGTAAAAACGTAGAGTCGAGGCATGGATCTTATATCTGTAATGCATTTTAGTACACCAAATATAAAAAAGAAATATAAAACAACTTACAATTCGCACCCTTAGCATATTTGTGGTAATTTTGAATGTGTTGAAATGAGTTTGAGTACTGTAAATATTTTATGAGGTGGTATATAATTTAGCCAAATTGACACCATTGTAAAGTAGTGAAAGTATGCTTATTATAAGGGGCTCCACTCTCCCTCCATTATGCATGATTTTAATTTTATATAATTTAATTCTGGTTGTAACGCTGTATTTGATTGGATAAATAATTTACTTTATATCGTATAAAATGGGTTGCCTACGTCACAATGACTTGCGTGAAAAACGTATCGATCCGCCTGACGTTACATTCAAATTTTGAACAAATTGTAGTCATTTTTTAAGGACAATCATCTTTTTTTTCTAACACCAAATGAATGAAAATTAAATTATAAGGAATGAATTTAATAGCTACCCAATGTATACGGTATAAACTGGGTTGGAACAGTTTATGCTTTTTTTATAAACCGCTAGCGTAAACTGCCCCAACCCAGTTTATACAGTATAAAATGGGTAGCTATTAAATTCATTCCTTACGTAAAAGTCAGGTTGCAAGAATAAACGGCGTTTTTCATCATATGATGGTGTAATTATGATATGCTCTTAAAATTCAATTATGAAGTTCGTCTTAGATCTTTTCATAAAATGTCAACTAGGAGCGTCATATTCCAGGATTCATGACAGAGATCTTAGCAAACTGATCTGCTGGGAAATCAAAAGGGACTGACTCACCATGCGTTGTGGCTCAGAATGATGCGGCATTGCACCTGAAATTCGTGATTTCCTGGAAACCAAACCGAGGCTAAGGAAACTGAGACCGAGGTTACGCGAAAGTCTTTTTATATGATAAACAAATATCTAGAACTAATTTTATCTCGTGTAAGAGCTTTTCGAAAGCAGCGATCTTCTTAAAATGTCAAATCAATCTTCAACATCTTACAAAAATAAATTCTGGAAATTTTCAATCATTGAATCCTGTCCCACATTTAAACACGTGTCTCTGACGTTAATCACGGTGCAGTTCGGCAATACTTTTCAAGTCGTTTGGCATGGTGAGTTTACATGAGTTTTTACTGTGTTTGTCTCTGATATGTAAATCGTGCAACAATATTTATTTGAAGATTGTTTTCCAGCGATGGATGTACTTGTAAAATATATGAAGCACATTATCAATAATCTCTCTATGATGTTTCTTTTGATAGCAAAAAACAAATAATTTACGTCCAAATATTTGCTGTATATTGAGAAATTTTCATCCAGTGTGCAAACTTTCTCCCTGTTTTTGAATTCACTCATGACTGAAAGCCAATTTGTTATTGCAGAGATGGGTTTTCTTTGTTAATTTGTCCCCATTTTAGATCAAGGATAATGGGAAAGAGAGGAGAGTAAAAATTAAAGGGGGCAAATATTTCTCACTGTATTACTCCTTTATTTGTGGAGCAGATATTATGACTCTCAAGATATCTAATATGGGGATAGTTCATTACAAGTCCTTTCCCTTTACTATTCTGGTATAATAAGTTTTAACGCTCGGTCTAAGCTGTTAAATAAGGTGACTCTAGCAGTCATTTATTGCAAAAATTGTCCAAAGACAACCAATAAATAGAAGTGGCGGATCAATATCTTGCTGTGCCAATACCCTAGCAATAATTAGCCAGACTTCCTCGGATTTGGGGATATTGAGTTCACTTGAGGATAATCCTTTGGCTTCGGACGAAGCCATTCTTCAACTATTTATTCTTTACGCCAAATTTCGATAATCCCCTCTGCAGTGATGTCTATCGTAAGTAAATTCGCTGTTAGAGGAGCAATATTAGTGAGACAGCTACGGAAACCATTAAAACTATTTTCTATGTTACACATTGTTAATTTGCTATGCAAATGATGCACAGAGAATGTCAATCAAGTCAGTTCCACTCAAGACACCGAAAGCTAATATTTCTCCTTCACTAATCAACGAAAATCAGTGCGAGTGCCCAAGTCCTCACACAAGTTATGACTATCATATTACATGTCATTTAGGTAAAGATTTGATAGTAACGCTAATTTGTGGCGAATTCTCTTTCTTAATTCAAACCTCAAAAGTGTTTATAGAACACCATATAGTTATGGATTATCTGGTAAATGTGTATTAATCTCGAGTTCCAAGAAATATTATTCAACAGGTGTCCTTTAACGTATTTAATTATCACCCCTTTCTCTTTCTAATGATGTAAATAAAATTGTTTCAGATCTTTTTCTACTGTTTCTACTGTTGTATTAGTGAGGTGATTGCTATAGACTTAGAAATCAGCATACAAGTATCGATTTTCCCCCAGTATATTGTTTTATACATAATTGATATACCTTGCAAACACTCTGTGTCGGCACGGACAGAGAGATGCTTTTGACTGTTACCTAATTCAGGTAATTTTTGTTTTGCACCTGTTTGTTTTGTGTTTGTTTCTGAAAACTTTGCTTTTTCAGTCATTGCTGTCTGTTTATTCATTTATTTTTTCCTCTTGGTACCGATTGCAAGTTCCTCAAGCGTATGTTCTGTTGTTGTTTGTTTGCTTGCTTGCTTTATATCCCATCGAGAATTTTTCACTTATGTTTGAACTCCATCAGTTGCAGATTGAAGACTGCAATTTTAAATCAGTGCTCGATCAGCTCTCAGTGAGTTGATGTTTTTATGCTAGCATCTACTGCACCATTGGTCTTTGGTTTAATCAAAAGGACTGGTCTCCACATCCCGCGACTTCGCGACTCTGGGACGAAACTCTCTAACAACTGCGCCACGCGTGCGTTTCTTGCCAACCGATCACAATGCACATGTACCTAATTCACGTCTTATGCTGTTTCAAGAAATATCAAATTTTTCTTCTTCTTTTCAATGCATCTTTATTAAAAATACTTTGAATTATTGGTGCCTTTTGCACTTTCTATCATTGAAGTATACATGTAATGAGAAAAATGGATTCGTTAAACTTTTATCCCATTTAGATTCTCATCTCTATCTTTTTTTTTTTTTCAAATTTCGATCTTTAATGTTAACTTCAAAGAGAAATCAAAGTAACTTTACGTGTTACATATGTAATTAATCAGAATTTAGCATCTGATTCAATGTAGGAACATATCCCACCGTAAAGATCATCTTTTGATTAGGCAGATATATCAACACTCTTGCCGGGCTAAACCTCCCACGTACTGATAATTTAAACAAATGCTAAAATATCAACTTCTTATTAAACTATAAAAAATTCATCTTTTTTACTTCCAGGCGTTTTATTGCGTGAAAAAAACTCTATGAATTGAACATATGATTGCGCATCGAACGGCGTCATTTGAGATTAAGTAAATAGCACAAGTTTCAGTCTAAGTGTATTTTGTAATATTCATTCGAAAACTATTGAACTCTCAAAGGAATTGCAAGAAATTCGCAAACATATGCTTTCCTAATATCTTTTATGAATATTTGATGATTTTTTTTCCGGGTCATTCATCATACAAAAGCTCCTAAGTGCATGAGGAAAAAAAAGAGATTAATGAGTCATGAGACACTTCTTTGAATTAGATAAAATATAACTACTAGATTTCATTTGTTACTTTTTGTGTAGAAATTTTTATACATACATGTACAATTAAACAAAACAAAAAGTGTTAAAATGCATTAAATGGTTTCAAATCTTTTTTGAGCGTCAAGAAAACTATCTTGTCAAAAAAGAGGAGAAAACATTGAATTCTAAAGAATTGTGTACGCTTCAAACCCTTGGTTTCAAAATGCAGCAAAAAGCAGAAATCTAGATATAAACACCGCTGCACGTTTAGTGAAAATGGGAAAGAAAACGTGTGATCTTTCCATCTGATCAAACGATCTCCAACACGAGTATTCTGGTGTTTAGAGAAGTTGTAAAAATATTTATTCACTTTACGGTCTACAAGACATTGAAATCCAGGCTTAATTTAGAGGATTTCAAAGGAATTCTTATAACTAAGGAGCATACTTCAATAAATACACTGTTGTTCTCATCAGCCGCAAATAGTGAATTAATTATATTGAAAGAGGTTTTCTCAGACAAATTTTTGCAAAATTATGCATCTATTTTGCTACTATATTTAAGAAAATGTTTAAATTACAAAGTGCATCTTAATGATTATGATGTTGTCCAATTAAAAGAGTAAGATAAACTTCTTATTTATTCACCATCATAGAAGTTTACATGTATAAGAGGTTGGACACATGGGAGGTTTGTGAAAACAATGTCCAATTGATGAAATGTACATGCTACATATACATTGTAAATACCATAAAAACTATGAAGATTAAGTGAAATATAAATGATGAATTAAGTATAGTAAATATCATTATAAAAATGAATGATATGAAATAAAATATGTACATGTAAATGTATATGAGGGAGTTTTAAGACCGCTCATACATTTAACACAATTTTAAATTTTAGTGTCATTTATTCATCTTTGATGTTTTGTTTCGAGTTTTAAATGAGTAGATATTCAAAGAAAATTGAAGTGAGAGGAATTAAATAGTCAATCAATAAGAAACTGCAAAAAGTGCAAAGGTTTATCACTGAAAACGCTAGTTTCTCACGAAAACAATACACTGTAATTTCTAACAGTATAATAGAAAAATGAAACCATTGTGTGAATTTAAATCAATCATAAAACCGTCTTTCACACTAGTTTGGTTTGGATTTTTGCTATGTAAGCGGAGTACAGCGAGCGAATCAGACCTGACTTCAAAAAAAAAATTAGAAAATCGTACCCAGAAATCTTAATGTTGAGATGTCCATTTGATTCGTCGTACAAGTTGGGTACATGTATTTCCTGTCCCATATTTCATGTTGCTTAACAATTACATATAGTTATGGCTTAAATTTACAGAAGTTCCGGATAAGACAAAAGTACGTGAGACTGTTTTAGCAGGAAATACATTATTCAATTCAAACAGTTTCATTGTGTTACCTGAATTTTGTATTGATTAAATAAAAGATGTATACTACCTTGGTTTAACCCCTTTTGGACGAAAGAGTTTAATCTCTATACCTCTGTTGGTGTTTTGGATAATCTGTTACTATTATCAGTTATATACCCTTAAGTAAATGGATCACATTTCATATACCTAATTGCAGATGTTGCTATTCCGTCATGAGGATTGACGTAATTAGTATGTGTTTGAATTGTTCCATTTACACACATTTAAGAGATTCGGTTAGAGCCTTTTTTTGTTAAAGTACTGGAATATTACATGACAAAATGTTATGTCGTCAAATTTCTTAATGGTATTCGACAATCCTACCACACTTCTAAATTAACTAGGTGTTAAATGTCGGGACGGGCTTTGAATTTCCCCAGGTGCTTTGTTTGTAGTGACCTAACTAAGAACAACACGTCCCTAGCAGGATTATCTGTTAATGTTTTTGTAATAATTTTTTGTTGATTTTGCATTATTAATACTTTCCCGACCTTTCAGTCAATCAATAGCAATATGCTGTACAAGTATTTTTTTTTAACTTGTCTTGACAATTTTCATATTATAAAATACCAAACTGAATATTGTGTTTTTCCGATTGTGCTTGGCAAAGTTTCAACTTATTGTGAGTTTTAATATACGCTAAAAAATATTGACAAGCATTTTTCAATGAAGAATTCACAAAATATATCAGATTTCTTTTAAATGATGATATTGGCATTTGAATTATTAAATTTCTTTCTTAGATTAAAACAGTTATCAAGTGGAAAAGAGGAATAAATCCCTCGTGTCAATTTCATTTAATATACCTAAGTTTGCTAATGTGTTCAAATCGTTATGGGTCCCGGTTTTTATTATTAAAATAGTTTGAAACCCACGACGCGCATGTCTCTTCCGGAAGTTAGCTTCCGGCAAGAAGAATAACCCTTCACACCCGATCAAAGAAAACGATTTTACGAGCCCGACTTTGAATGACGTAAACTGGAGTTTATTGAATCTAAATTTCGCGAACAGAGAGCACCAAGCATCAAATGTGAAGAGTGTTTTAGAAATAATGCATAGATGAATGATCAATGATCAGAGCTTCAATTACTCTTTGCTGTTATTCAAAATTGATCGAATCACTGACTTGAATAAAAAAAAAAAAAGCGACAATAAACTCATGCGTGGATCAAATAATCGGATGATGCATGACACTGTTAATTTTGTTCCTGGTAAGATATATCAATATTCATCCTGAAGGTCGTAGAGATCTGCACATGTATTATAATTCCGTATTGTTCCCCTCTTACAAGTAGATATCTCTGATCTCTATATTGTATTTCCTGGTTACCGGAAGTCCTTACGCCCTATCTTGGAAATATTTGTTTATGTTATGTAATCGATCTCAGCTTAAAAATAAAATAAATGTTATCATACTCTCTCTGATTTTTTGCAGGCTTCAACTGACTCCTCCTCCTCTATGCAATGTGTAAGATTGGAAACCTCAAAGGTAAGTTCAGTAACTGGCGCTGTTTTTGTTTTTATTAATTTACTTCTTAGATTTCAATTTATCTGTTCAATAAGAATTTGTTATTGCAATATGAATTTTAATTGATTTTCAATAAATTCAATAGAATAACTGTTTTTGCTAGCGGTCGACTTCATGGTAGGGCATTATTGGAATACAACTGTAGATAAATTGTACCATGTCAATTTCGTTTTATCATATGAAAATACTTTTGATCTGAATTTTCGTATGTTATTGTCCAACCTGTACATATATGTACAAATAGTAATATATGTATATGTAGTAACTCAGATCTTATAATGCCAAGACTGTATAGATCAGTTATATCTAAAATTATAATAAATACCTAGTTTTTCTTAACTACCTTCCTGGATCTTTCTAGCAAGCTCGGAAAACAACCTTGGATGTGTTTCCCAAGCTTGCTGGAAAGGCCCCAGAAGATACGTTTGCTAAAAAGGTGTCATATTAGCGTGTTTTAAACTACATGTAGATTCTCATTTGCTTTACTGGTCTTATTTTTCATATCAAAATTGAAATAACAGTGAACTAAAGAATGCTCAAAGCACAGTTAATGAGATATGAAATTGCCCATGTGAAGCCAACTCTAGATTCACCATTCTGAATTGAGACCCACCCACCCACCCCCAACACCACTCCAGTGCACCAATGTGCCTTCCTATTAATAAGTAATCGATTCAGCACGTTTAATCAATGATTAAGATTTCTTCTTCTGTGTTTTATGATAGCTACAGCGCTAGTTCGCCTATCTTTTTAAAAGATAAGCTTGTAACGTACATGTAGCATAATATACACTTTCGACGGAGTATGTCAATACTTAATATAAGCATTGTCTAGCAATTCTCCAAATATAACACTATCGTAGTTCATTTAACACTTTAAGAGTATCAATCTTGTGTTTGTGTAAATGCTTTGGAGGGATGAGCACCTATTGAGCCAAGGGCAATTGTTACTTATAAATATTGATAGCAAAATAACTAGAAATTTATAATATTTGTTAGAAGTTTAAGCCATCTGTTAAGTCTTTCTTTGGAGAGATTTAAAAAAAAAAGGTTGTTTAGGAAAGGGAAATTTTGTCAAAATATACCCGCTTGCTGCGTTAAAATCGTATTCATTTTTGTTTGGGACATAGCTGTTCGGTTTCTGTGCGATCCCATTGTGTCTTGTATCTAATCAGTATCGATTCTAATCAGCGTCAATGACCACAAAAATCAAACACTGCTCTGGTTTTATACCAGTAAAATCTTGCTTGGTTGGAACAGTCAGGTTATTCAACCCTCTATCGGTGATTAGCCTGTCCTTGGAAAAAAATGTCACTTCGTCCCTTTTTCATTTGCATATTAAATCGGAGTGTCTGATATTATTGAGAAAGGAAACTGAATTTTGAATGAACCCAATTTTAGAACCCTGAGTACGTTCTCTACTCGTTGTGTATCTGCATTCCCAAATTTTTTTCCTCTTGAAATTTATTCTCTTTGTTTTTCAATAACTTAATGAGGTCCCCTGACTTGAACTACCGCGGCGTGCTATAACTATATGACGTTGAATTACAGCAGGGATCATATCTTGCATTGGTTGAGTTCAAGTAGATTAGTGAATGTCTTTGAAGCAATTAACAATTTTATTTTATGTTATTATGCTGTATGTTTTATAGCTGCCATTTTATGATTAGATGGAAATAATTTTCATTTTTTTTCAAACCTCTTGTACTTGTAGGCTTATATTATGAAAAGAGAACTGTTCTTGAGAGTGTAAAGATAAATTCGACGCGTTTCTACTTTATATATACAGTCAAACTTCGTTATCTCCAACTTGTTGAAACCGCTCAAAAACTTCAAGATATCCGAGAATTCGAGATAACGAGTTAAAAATACATGTGTACATAACGAAATAGTAGTTAAGACTTAAAAATTCCATGTGACTTCAATATGTCAGTGGTATTCGAGATATTCGTGTTCGAGATAATGAAGTCCAACTGTATATGGATTCTTTTGAAGCATTGGGAAAGAGCAATTATACCTTGCAGAATCACGATCGGTATCTAAGTTCTACATTATTTAATTAATATGTTACTCATTCAATACACTTTGAAAATTTGCTCATTTGACAAAAATTTTGTAACTGCAAGTGTTTCAGAACGTTAACTAATTCGGCAATTGTTGTCTAATTTCCAGTTAATTGAAGTTCACTATTCGCACTAGGATACAACAATGCTTTATATTGAACATCTAACTGACCCAAATCGGCCAATTTCTCCCCCATTTTGTTATTAACAAAGGCAGCATAACGCAGCAATTCACAACAGAACCCACCTAGTCTAATACATTTTAAGATGAATTAGAGTGTTGTTAATGAGAGTTTGATTTGATATGAAGTAGTTTCTGTTGTGAATAAAGATGTCTGCTCAATTACGATTACTTCTCGTTCTCAAATGATGTACAAATGCAACAGTAATTTGAGTGCAAGTGAATAATGCAAAGAATAAACAATTTTGGAAAGAATTTTGATGATAAATTTTTTGTTATAACCATGAAATGTTATACTTGTATATATAAAGCAGTTGGATCAACAAAACTTGACTTTCCATGAACATTTTTTTTTCTTTTCTTTTTTCAAACTCCTTTCAATTGCCAAGTTACTAGCATGAATCTCTCATATTTCCATGAAAAGAATGGATTGCTGACAAAATAGGCAATTAAGAGTGTATTAAAAATGTTGATTTTTTTAAAAAAAATAAAATAATTTAAAGTGTTTTAAATAATGAAAGACTCCTGTTCATGAAATTGTATTCCGTTGAAAAAATCGGTACTTCTCTTAAGTTTTGAAATTGAGAAGTGCCAAAAAAAAGGCTTTTAGATTTATATCAAATTATATGCGTAGTCTGTCATTTTCAGCAACTTCCATGTTTAAGTCTTCTACTACCTTCCGTGCCTATTTTCTCAAAAATTTTGTCAATACTAATATCACTCTCTTCATGTTGTTATGTAATTTGCATGTTCGTTTAATTCTCTTTCTACTAAGTTTCTTCTAGCTTTTTGAGCGACATTTAATTTGGTTTTCAGCAAGCAATTTCCGTGCAAGATAGCACAATTTCCTTTAATTTACATTCAATAACTATTTATATGGGGGATTCATTAATTTCAACAAATCAAAATGTTCCTCGCGGTCATCAAAGTGTATTTTATTACCCAAAGTAAAATTTACGAGGCAGAGAATGTTTTGCACAGCTTCTTGGATACAGCAAGCAAATAGATAAACAAACCTTAGAAAATTGCAGGCTTGTCATTGCAAGACTAATTTCGATTTTAAAAACATATACATAAACATCACCAGGTAGTGAAATGTATAATGAACTTTTTTCCCAGCATTCACAGATTACTGCAGCTTTTCTAACGGTTGAGATTATTGAAGAGAAGGGTTGTTTTATTTTCTTACTAGTTCATTGAATCTGACAAGAGGAAAAGTTACTGGGGGGAAAAGTGATGCGAAAATGTCAGTTAGCTTTAGAATTAAATTCAACCATCTTCATCAGAGAAAGCGTAGTTGTGTATTAACCTGAACGTTCCAGTATCGACTGGGAAAACCTTCTGATAACAGTTCTACATTTTATGATTACATGGCTATCTAATCAATGATCAGAATGAAAGTCTTCCAGTCAGCCCTCGCATTTCTTCATCATTCTGAAGGTACAGTAATGGACATTTACACTTACATGTGCCATAAATGTGATTAAATGCCCAGACCTTATCTTACATGACCAGGAGAATGACTCTCTCAATTGAGAGATTATGAGACCCTCCGCAAAAGGCTTCAGCGCAAACAATATTGCAAACAATAAGCGAAGATAATTAAGAAGAATGGGTACGGAAGACAGAAAAGTATGAAATGTTTAAGGAATCGCGTAATGACCATAAAATGATATTTTAATTCCAAGAATAATGACTTCATCAAACACCAAGCGCTTGGGATTAAAGTATATAGCTCTTTGTAATTGTTTGCCTTTAAGGTAAACTCATACGTTCTTGTGATAAAACCGTTTTTAATGTTATTTGGAAACCCCATCTTTCTTGCTTTCTATTTTTACTCGTCAGTGCAAATAAAGTTTCACACGTTGCCATAGTAACGATAGGTTCATGACATTTCTACTTTCGCCTCCTCCCCCAGACGAAATTTGAATGTTTGTGTTTCTGGAATGTTATACTAAAATTGATGGATTTTTTTTACTTTAAGCTTTCAATTTTGGTCCATATGTACGATTTACAGGTATCATCAAAAAAGTTCTTTTTTAAATATTATATGACATAATAGGAACGATCTGTAATGAAAAAGATTCTATAATAAAAAATGGTTAAAATGTTTCTTTTGTTTGATTTTTTTTTTTTAAGTTTACTTAGCATAAAAATTCAAATAATGTCTAATGTAGGTGACAGATACATGTAATTGCTCTTTCGCATTACTTTAACCATGTATACGTTTACTGAACCAAAATAGGATGCAAGGATCAGATTTTACCATGCAGTACGTACCGGAAATTGATGAAAGCTTTTTGCAGGAAGTTCTATCACGGTTCTTAAGAGAGCATTGATTTTGTGTTTGCTGTAGTTGTCATTTGTTAATTTCTTGGAAGATCAAATAAACCAACGAAATAATGATTCCATATTGAAGATGGAGATCTGAAGCTCAAAAGGCTAATTGCAGCCCCATAGTCTGATGGATCCAAGGCAGAGGAAATCTGTCACCATTTTGATTGTTATCTCGTTGGATATCAATCAAGTACAAATTATGTCAATGTAGTGACTGATATCCCTACCTTCCGCTTCTTAACCCTAAAGGGAACTCTGTAATTTCTTATAACAAAATGCATCTTGACATTTGTGAATTCATAGTGGGAAGCCAAACTGCGTCCACTAAGGTTGCCATGATTCCTAGGTTGAATGCATTGGTATATTTGTTAAGGACAATTT